TACTGCTACCGTAAGAAACATGGAATCTGTTTTTAATGGTCGTTGCGAACCTCCGATACAGTACTGCCATCGAAATTTAGTTCGATGCAAACTCATTTCATATGCTTAGAAGCAATACTTTTTCGATAAAAATACTTATCGAAACGTTTGTGCACACTTCAAAATTGCCGTTCGAGTTGACTCCGATAATGATTCCTATAAAACATTTCAGATTAGATTTAATTTCTTCAATTAGCCAAATCAAGTTGACGAACCATTGCATTCTGAAAAGCGCTATCCATAATTCTGGCCAAGAGGCTCATACAAAGAGGCCATACAGTTCAAAGAAAATTAATCGTTAATAGCAGGCTTGGCGGAAGGAATACACTACACCATGATAATTAAAGAAAACTTACGTTCATACATACTTAATTGGGCTTAACGCATATTTCCAAATGTAAAAACGTCAATAAGTATAGTATAATACGATATGCCCATCATTGTGCTTGTAAGGAATACATAGGCGCCACAATCCGTAACTTAAAAATCTTTTCATGCTAATTATGCCGAGATTGATACTTGCTGGGTAGTAAATACTTTTAAGCATAAGAAGTATAATGTAAGTCTGTTGTATTCGTAAAACATGCCATCATAATCATTCAGTGCCAACATTGACATTACTGTCAGCATAGAAATGCACCTTTATCTTCGTAGCCATCAATGTCGACTGTTGCACTCATATACTAAAAGTATAGGATAGACAGATAGAGCACAATAGCAAACAGTGAGACTATAATAGCGGCGTCAGCAATAGCATACTAAACGATACCGTCATCGTTATAATCTATATCATCACCAATTTCATTATCACGATAACGAAAAGTATGTTAAGCATAGCTAAGCCATAAATTCATATGACTGTAAGCAAGTATATATTAATATCAATCCCTTCTCGGTATTAAATATATATATATATATATATATATATATATATATATCGATATCTGTATGAATGAATATGTATGCGAGTATGTAATCCCGAAACAAGTGAACATTTGTTCGCATTTAATTAAAAACGTGCTTAGGTTTAAAAAATTTAAAGCCCCAAAATACTCAAAGAAGAATTCCATCCATATTATTCTTGCACAGTACATGATCTTTACAGTACACGAATAAATTTAATTTAGTAGAAGAGACCGTATGCGTCCCAAATCGGGTGAAATGAGATTGAAAATTCTGTTGGTTTAAAACCATTCCAAATGAATTAATTTGTACGCATAATCGATCACTACATGCTTATCAACATGTATTTTCCTTCGACTACAGTCGGTGTATATTATACTTGCTTTATTATCGATCCGTGGTAGTCATAAATAAAATAAACTCCGGACTTGTCGATATGTTTTCTTTTAATTAATTGTATATGACTTCAAATAGTTGTTTTGTACTTGTTAAGTTATCCAGTGCGCACAAAATGCCTATAATACGGACGCAGTATTTCTATCGCCATTTAAATCTTCTACGAATATTTCTGCTGATAGAAAAGGACAGAAAAAAAAATATTCGTCAAAACTTTCAAAATACACTTTAGTTTCCATAATGTTCTTATCTTTTTCGCTGAAGCATTTTTTTAAAGTTGTAAATGAATAACAGTCGGTGGCGGCCAGATCCAAAGATTACCATTAAGTAAAACAGCAATTCGAATTTCAATTCATGCAATCCTTGTCCATGTATCTTATGGTATCACTTTGAGTGAACGTGGCAACAATTGGAAAAACAGCCTTCCAATGCTCAAATTTTCATACAAATTGATGATGGGCTTTTTAATATATATATTTAGAAGACCAGTTTTCTTTTTCAACTTTATTTTTCGAGTATCTCGAGAAACATTTTAAGGGTTAATTTTTTTATGCTTTCTGTTGAGAGTTTCGCTTTTGGATATCCATAGCATAACCATTGTGCGTAAGATCTTACTCAAAGTCGTAAAACGGCCAACAAATTCTTATTTGCGACGGAGGGCGGTCCCATCCAGCCACTTTTAAAGTCCTTTTTAAGTTTGCATTGTATAACTGTTTTTCCAACTGTTTCGAAGTTAACAAACATAGCAACAATAAAACCACCGCAACTGCCGCACATAAAGAATCGAAATGACATGAACGTTTGACAGGCGTCGTCTGAGCTTTTGCTTTTTTTAAGTCCAATATGCTATAAAAAAAAAACTATGATATACATTGTAGGGGAGTTTAAAAAAATTGTAGGAAGATATGTATGTTAAGTGTGGAATTAAATTCTCGTGTAAAAATCGGTTGCTTTATAAATAATACAGAAGCCGTTCATCCCGCCTGCCATTTTAGGTAAGCATAACTTGTTACGAAACCCTTAGAAAATGATTTGCGAGTCTTCGCACATAAAATTTTCTCGAAATTTTCTCGAAAATGCCGACGGTTTTGGAGACCCGCTAATAGTGTTGTATTAAGAAATGTACGAATGAAAATGCGAAATTTAACAAGTAAGCAAATTACATTTGGTCATGGATAAATCTTTTATACCCATCACCGATTTAAAAAAAAAATGGACAAAAAATTAATTTTAATACTCTACAATATTAGGCGGAAGCGACTGGTCTTTTTCTGTTTTCGGAATTAAAACGGAAATTTATATGGCGTATGTGCTGTACTTTATGAGGAAGCAGGAAAAACTATGGAAAGCAAAGATGTTCCCAGTTTTTGTTCCATAAGCATTAAAGCATTGTAGGAAAATTCCTTGACAGATTTAGATCATTGCAAAATGTTTTAGTAAACATGTAGACCAGCTAACAGAATGTTTACAACAGATATTACATAAACGACAGACGGTCAGACAAACGAACGGATATGTTACGTGCATTCCGTTGTATATTAATTTGCCGTAGGTTATAAGTTTAAAGACCAAATTTTTATTCCTTTAGCAAAACAAACATTTCCCGATTTACGTGATACTGTAGGAGTGTCTTTCCGCCGATTTAGCCCATTTTCAAGGCCAACCTGCTTACGAAAACTTTCAATGATCTTGGCAAACATGAACTCGATAGCTTCATTCTTGCAGCCAGGAAAATATTTACAACAGATATCACGCAGACGGACATGCTTAAATCGATCCAGAATTTGATGTGATTTTGCTTATTGAAAACTAGCGCTCAAATGCCGCCAAAGCAAACAAAGAAACGATCTGAAACTAAATCGATCTAAAAAAAAAATTCCTGGCCAGCTTCAACAATAAACTGTAAATAGTATTTACAAATGTTGTTAATGAGCAGATGTCTTTGCTATTCAGATATGCATTTAGGAAGAATTGTAAACTCATTTATGTCGCCGATAATAGTTTTTGGTCGCGCGTGCTTCTTTTCTAAAATCTTTGTGAAATAAGACTTATCAGCATTGCAAAAGAAACATTTCTTTCGGCTGAAACATATTGTACTCCCTAGTTTGGTACTTAACATTTTTATAACATGCTTATACATCAATATTTTCATATATATATATATATATAGTATTGTAAGTGTATAAGTAGTCGACTACGATTAACGTTTATACTAAAGACAAATTTTCATTAATCTCACCACAGAATTAATTTAATCTCTAAGCTTTAATCAAAGCTGCAGCGCATTCAACGCACTCAAAAGTTTTGAAAACGTTCAATTGTTTAGACTCCATGTCATAACTTACTCTCTTAATGATAATACATAAAAAGATGATTAAACAACTCTAAGTAATAAAGCTCACCATATAGCTTAGTTATTCTCTAAACTATTCCTCAAGAAGCGATAAACATACGAATGAACTACTGTACGCTAGTTGTTCCACTATTAGCAACTAGGTCAAAGGTATACACACAATAGTGCAAAACTTCACATGTAGTAGCCGACAACTACAAAAGCAGCGTAAGATCAATCTTTTAGTTGTTCAGCGATAGATAAACAAGGAAGTAATAAAAAATAGTGTTTTCAGGATGTAGACAGCGAAGATGTATAATAGATTGTTCCTTAATCGACCCTAATCGACCATTAGTCTTTTATTTCACTATACTTATCCTTGACTTTTATTCAAATCAGAATCGATGGGACATATGCGAACATGTACTATGTACTTGCTTGAGGAGAATTCGCTGTGTTCAGAGGATAACCGATTGGGAACGCGGTCAATGAAGAACAGCGGACGTGTAATACGTATGTGCCGGACGGACCTTCGGCTTACAGAGGAACTCCTACTCTTTTCCTGCTAGCATACGCGAGGGAAAAAAGTGAACGTATTGCCGCCTGCTAAACGTTCCGTATATTTAGTTACTGATTGCATACAAAACATAACGGTCCACCACAGTATCAGATATATAAAACCCTACACCGAGAATATGTAACTACGGATCGAGAATACTTTGCCAGGAATGGAGAATCACGAGAAGGTGAACGTATACGAACTTTGTGTGTTCAAACAAAATGAACAAAAAAGAACCGTCTATAAATACACTGCGTGCAAATAATACGTCGAACTATCAACCGTAACTGCCCACTAGGTCATACTGTTGTTTTCCGTTCAAGAGAAATTTTTTGCTCTTTCTCCTATTAATCTCGAAATATATATTATTGTAAATCTGTACTGTGCTACCATTTTCCCAAAAAGCAATAAAACAATGTATTAAATCGAAAATACGAAGGTCCAATTAATTTAATAAATTTCTTGAAACGGACCAACTGAAAAGGTCTGAGTTAGACTCCCAATCTGAACTATTGTTGCAACATAAAGGCTATGTTACGAACTTTGAATATTTTTTATTATTAAATAAAATTAAACAGGCTTTCCGAATAAATTATGAACGCATTAATGAAGACTTACTACCTTAAAAAATGAATGAAGTAAACGTAAATATTTCCCACCAATGCCAATAATGTTTAAGACATATATTTATATTTTTTTGCTTACTTTCTCTTTGTCTTTGAATATATTTTATTTTCATAATTCGTTTCAAGTTCACATGGTTGTACTTACACTTTCTAGCTTTGCCACCGTCTCGTACATGGTCATGTTATTGACTTTTCCATACTGCACAATAAAATCGATATCAGTAGTATTAGTTAAGGTGCTTTTATTATTTTTGTTCGCTATATTGTTGTCAGCGTCTGTGACAGTTGAATTTTCATTAACTTCAACTAACTGTGGTTGCGTCCAGGCTAAACTAATTGTAGTATTAGTAATTTGAGTGACATGCAGATCTTCTGCCGGTCCTGGTATACTCTCAGTGCCTGGAATTTTTAATCAATTGAATGCATCAAAGGGTTATTTCAGTAGTCAGTTTCCAGATACATGTTTTCAATAGCCATGCTAACCTTCTTCGAAACACTGAAGAATATTGCCAGCATAGGAGAGACAATCCGCTGAATTAGTATTTGCTGCAGTCGATGTTGAGCTACCACCGCCGCTAACAGACGACGAACTACTAGATATACTTGATAGGGATGCCGATATGTGGCTGACTGGCAAAACGCCGCGACACAAAGACATGCAAGTTGGTGTTACGCCCCGTCGGACGCAACAAGGCGTATGATCTCGACCGCCTGCCGCGCAACGTGCAATTACAGCTAGATTGATATCAAAATTGACAAAATGAACAAACTTAAATCATACACAACAATTAGAAACTCCTATTAATATCTCTCTCACGCCTTGCTTTCATAGCTATTTATTTCTTGTGTTCTCACTATAGTTTTTATCTTCCTTTTCCATAACTTACATATTTGCGCTCGACAAGCCGGGCCTAGTTTTTCGATATCCGATAAACGTATATTATAACTGCAAAGTGGTGTACATTGTGGTAAAAGGCCAGACGCTTGGCAACATGTGCTCATGTTATATCTCGATTCGTATACATTCTCTACGTTGGCAGGCAAGGTGCGTGTAATAAGACGTGGTGATGGTTCGCTTTTCCCATAAGCATTTATGGAAACCACATAAAATTCATAGTAAACTTCTTGCTCCAAACCCTCTAATATAAGTGGGGGGTTTTTCTTAAAATAAAAAATTATTCAGGCCGAAAATTATTCAGAACGAAATGGTAAATTTATTTACAAGAACGTATATGGATATCGTTATATACCTTCTCTACTGTCAAGTAATCATCCCCGACTCCCAAGCGACGGAATTTTATATGATATGTGCTGATGGTATCAGATAATGACTTTGGCTTATTCCAATCTAATATCACAAAATTGTCAGTTTTGGCTATAATACGCAGTTTGGAAGGAGGATCAGCCAAAATTCCGTAACCCTGAAACAGACAGCTGCTAAATTCCGACATGAAACGTAAACACCTGTTCAGAGAATTCTTTTAAATAACAGAAACTTTTCTTAACTATCCAAAGTTTGAGTTTATTACTCACTTGAATAAGCTAAAATCCAGTGTGGAAATCTTTCCAGAGCATAAAGGAAAACAGGCGGTGGGTATACCTCTGGCTCGACAACAAGGTGTGTGATCGATGTTATTAGCTAAACAAGTGAAGGTAATATTTGACCAAGGAGCGCATACCATAAAGTCGGGCAATGTAGCTAAATCAGTTTTTTGCGGATCACACATTTTATCCAAACACATACGATGAGTCATTCCGTTTGCTTCGCAACAACTACGTATATCCGGTAAGTCAGGTACTTCCATTTTCATAACAGGTCCCGATTTCGCTTCAGTTGCTAAAGCGCTAGTATGCGTAAAGATACGCAATCTTTCGCTGGGCAGGCTGGAACCGTAATCATTTGCAGCCGTCACCATAATCGTATACATTGTTAACGGCTTCAAGTTTTTAACAGTGACTGCAGTCTCATTACTGGAGACTAATCGCAAAATGCTTATATCTTCATTGTTACCTTTTCCGTGTTTTGCTATATTATCAGCTTCAATATCTTCGTCACTGCTGTCTTGGTCAAATGAATGCAATGCCGTTAAGGTGACATTATAGTGCTTGACTGTGTGCGGCAACTTTTTAGGTGGTGACCAGCTAACCGTGACAGTTGTCTCGGCGACGTCACTCACTGAAACATCCAGAGGTGTGCTGGGTATTTGCTGAACACCTTTTAATATGCACTGTAAACCACTAAGAGTGTGATGCACGCACGAGACACGAGTACGTAACAAGTCGGTGAAGGGGGTGTACTCACCCCGGCACATGTCCTGACACAAGTCAGGTATTTGCTTTTCAACACAACATGGCACATGGTTCCGACCATCTGCCATACAGCGCACTATTTGCGGGAAATCCTTTTCGCATGCCTCTGGATCCGTGCCTGTTGTGCCGTCCAGTATATTATGTACATTACAAAAACCCATACAATTTTGGCTGACATTTGCGCGTTCGCAGCACTCTGTAAAGTCATGTGTTATTTGTGGCCCCACACCAGTTGGTCGCCAAAAGGTACGATTGTCTGCCACCTCTAAGGGAGGGGGCACTAAAAACACATCACTCGACTCGCTGGCTGCTGCTGCCGTGCCTACGCCAGCTAGCGTGTCATTACCGTTGCCGTTCTTGTAAGGAAACGGCTTAACTAATCGAAAGCTTTTGTTAATTTTGTTATGTTTTTAACGCAACAACAAGTACATGCGAAGATAAATACGTATGCATAAAAACTTACCCATTAATATGTGTATGCTACGCAATACTGGATCTGAATTTAATTCACAAACATAACTTCCAGTATCCGATATTTTTAACTTTTTAATTAATAAAACCCACACTTCACCGCCAGATTCTAAGCGTCCCTTTGGGTCTAACCGTAAATCAGATTAAATTATTTATTTAGAAAAATATACTTTTAAAAATCGTAAACTCACTTTCATCGTGTAAAACACTAATACGACTATCGCTAGTTACTCTCACTTTACCAGCAGTGAGAATTTTATCAAATTTTTTCCATATCACAGTGTTATTATAATGATTCTCAGATACAACACAAGTCAGTAAAGCATCTTTGCCTTCGTATATCAACGAAGGTCCACCTGTGCCTAAAAATAGGCACACACATCGTGTAAAATGTAGGCTTAACATTTACAGTTTCGACTTACCTATCGGCGTACCGGTGTCAACTGTTATTAAAAAGCATGTCGATGTTGCTAAAATCAACAGCAATTTCAACATAATGACCTCGATTTTTATGGATGTTGCTGATAACTGTTTTAAAAAAGACAAAAAAAGGAGCAAATTATAAAAATCAACTTAATTCTTTACAAGGAAGCAACAACAACAACAAAAAATATAATAATAATTTAAGTCCTCTTAAAGAGTCCTTTAGAAAATTACCGTAATTTAGCTCCTATTTTTCATGCCGCATTTGTGTACGCAAACTGCCAATTATGTTTGACTTATGCAGACGCAACGTAATATATTATTAATAGCTTATACACAGTTTTAAGTTAGATATAAGTTATCTCTTTCTTGCTTACATATCTACATATGCATGCTATAGTAATTATTCTTTAAGAAGCATGCACATGTACCATTCATTTTTCAACGAACGCAGAGTTTGGTCGTCTCAATAAGCAAAATATTGTTGTTCATTACACTTGTAAATAAAATCAATCAAAATCTTCAAAGTAATCTTTTAATTTTGTTTTTCGGCTTTGCAAATGTAATTCTGAATTAGTTTCGTTATTAACAAAAAAAAATATTGGTGCAAAGAAGCTTGCATAAACAGTTACTACAAAGTTTAGCAAATCTTTTTGTAATTAAATAAATGATCTATAACCCCTACACGATACACGGTGATAGCACAGTCGCAGTTTAGTGCAATCATAGATAAAAGTGGAAAATGCTCTAAATTACAATATGTTGGTCGCTTTTCTGTATCAATTTGAAGCCCCAACTTCAGTTATCCTAAATTTCATATTCAAATATTCAACAAAATTCGAGCATATTTTTATACATTTTAAAGGAATTTAATTAAGCTAAATATGTGCGATTCTGATAGTTACGTTCCGCTATTTTTTTGGTTATACCATTCTGCCCTCCCGGTAGAAATTGTGGACCGTCTTGGCAAAAAACTGAAACAAGTTCTCGTCAGAGGACTCCTTTCAAATCAGCCACGCACTATGCAGATGCCCATGGGAGAGCGAAACAAATGGAAGTTAGAGAAGGAAGGTCTACGAATGCATGAAAACTTCCCAGTTGTACTCTTTCAATATTTGGCGAGTCATTAAAAATACGTGTGATCTGGCATTAAACGAACGGTTAATAACGCCGTTTGCTGGGTAAGATTCTCTGCCGTGGCGATATCATTCGTTTTTTTAACGAATTTATGAATGTAAATGTTCAAAATGTCAGAGCCGAAAAATATCGATTAGAACTTAAAAGTGAAGAGTGAAGTGAGTTGTGAGACAATTAATAAAAACTTAAATTTGCTTATGGGTACCTATAGGTATTTTCTGTACCGAACGCGGACAGGTCATCTTAGTTTACTTATTGTGTTGATTAGTTGGGAAATTCATAGTCTTAGCGCGCGTGCGCGTGCGCATTGCAATCATACTCTTGGAAATTAGAGTAAGACTAAAATATTTGAGGTGGTGTGCAAGATATATTATAAAGATATTGAAAGCTTCGAGCCCGTAATTTAGAGCACTCTGCAATTTCGATGTGGCTTTTTTTCGATTAAATCCAATTTTATTATATGCGTACCCTTTTTATACATAGGTATAATAAAAACTCGATAAAAGTCTTGTATTTCAAAGGTAATCGATAATCGATAATACTACACGTGATTTGTACTGCTTGAGAGGTTAGTACAGAAAAATTAGTAGTTACCCGTAAAATCTTTCACGTCTACAGATTCCGGACATAATTTTTAAGTATTAGCTTTCGTTATGTGTTATGAATTGTCGGATGCAACGAAAATCACCAACTTCTTTGTGGATTTATTTGAAAGACCGTGCTCATTCTCCAAAAGTACATTAATTAAGTACTTTGTTAAATTTTCTAATTTTTCGAAATCTCAGAAGACGAAAAATTAAAATATTGTCTAACCTGAACTCCTCTAATTATCCTGGCACCGATAACCGCGCTGACAAACATTTTCAATAAATGTTTACGGACTGGATATTTTACTTGAACCTGGAAATCTTGTTTCGTCATCGCTCTTCACAAAATAGGCTACGAAATGATTACAAAGATTACAGAGGAATAGCGACACTATACGCATAAGCTATTTAAGTCATTGGGAATTAGAAGCCTAATCGAATTTTTGAAAAACTTGCATAAATAACAAATGAGAACCCACTACAAAAGAAACTGATTAAATTACGAAAAAAATTCATTTTAAACTGTCACTTATCTGGCAACATTCTTAGAAATTGACTTTATGTAAGCCTTAGCGCATAACCTATTTTATTTAATTTTATAGATTTTCCTCACTTTATTGTATGCATTTATAATGATATAGAATTAAGTACATATGTAATATTTTTTATATAAGTATATAAGTAGTGCGTGTTAATTTACTTTTTCTATAATAAAACCAAACTTCAACTTCTTTTCAAAAGATTTGATTTTTAAAACCCATAATGGTTTGAATCCAAATTTTCGAGAAATGTTTAGAAAGTTCGAAGAAGTGAATTTATACCGCATTTGTAGAAGAAAAATAAGTCTAATAAGTTTTTGCATCGCCCATTAAATACTTTTGATAGGTAAAAAATAATAGCAAGTAATGCTACTAGTTAACATTTAACAATTGCATGGTCCTGTTTAGAACTTGCAAATCTGTGGCTGAATATGAAAAACGTAAATGTTTTTTTAATGCATTATACCAATAGAAATAGTCTCAATACGATCTAACTGGTAATAGCATAAAAACAGGATGGAATGATAATAACGCTGGCCCAAATTGGTAAAGGCTTACATTGATATCGAATTATAAAAAAAAAAAAGAAAATGTAATCTGAATGAGATAGCACCCGTAAGTGTAAGTCTTATTTACATGGCCTCTCAAATAGTGTCACGTAACTGTCAGGCATATATGCATCAACATGCGCCTGTAAACACAAAAATGTCCTGGCATAGTAATTGCAAATAATTTATAGGATTTTGCAGCCGCTATATAAATAAAAAACAAGTCGAAAATATAGTGAAATTAAACTATTGCGGAAAAATTCTTGGAAAAATACTATAAAATGAGTATTTTTATGCTTTGGCATATAGCGCCGGAGACTATGACAGCTATCGTACTGAATAACATCAGACTGTGAAAAGCATATGTATTGTGAACAAGACACAAAACAGCAGAGAGATAGAGCGCGTCTTCTTCCTTCTGCTGTTCTCCGTCCTTCACCTCGTGATAATTTGTTATTGTTGTCGTTGTTGTTGGTTTTGTTGCATCAACTGTATTATCATTCTCAAACGAAATAAAAATGCCAATGAAAGAAACTTCCATTTGCACTTGTCGGCGACTGCATTGTATACATACACGCGCTCTGACAACACTTTTTCTTCTTACATATATACACTTCAAGAAACAACAAAGCGTAAATGTAAAGTATCATGCAATATTGATGTAAAAAGAAAATGCATTTGACGACAAACACATACATTCTGCCAAGGATTGCAAAAGTGTGAAAGCAATAAGTGAACGGAAAAGAAAGGTAAAGGTAGAAAAAATAAAGAAGGAATAAATCCTTGATAACGTCACTTATAGGGTATCAACAAGAATTTTTTGCAAACAAATAAAAAATGTGTACAGTAATTGTGCCAACGTTAGTTTATTCGATGTATACTAACTGCCATTTAAAATTGCTGTTATTATGCAACGAATTCCAAGCACACGTTATACAAATCGCATATTTTTTTTCTCTTAATTGCAAACTGAACAACAAGTTGAATTAAATTCTCTAATAATTTCATTTAATAAATTTCATTCTATATATATATATATATATATATATATATTCCATATATACATATATATATGAACTGATCCTGTAGAGATCAGTTGAAAAGCTGAACTCTTTGTTTTCCTTCTCGCATATTCAAGGCTGAATGCCGCCAAATTGCCGCAGATTATAATGATAAGTAAAAATACGTGTATATTTTGCGTGAAATGAAAAGTTACAAAACAGTCTCAAAATTGTAATAACTTCATGCTTCGTCGGTGTTTTTAAAAAAAAACGTCAACTTTTGTTTACTAGCTTGAAAATACAAATGCAAGAAGAAAGAAATAAATAAATTTAAATAATTCAATTTGCAAATACCACAACGCATTAAATTCAAATTCCAAACTTATGACTATAATCAAATGTAAAACAGAAGCTGTATCCTTTATACAAAAAAAAAAAAAAAAAAAAGGAATACATTCCATGTAAACAAAAATAGTATTGAATAAAAGAAAATTAACTAGCACTGCTTACGATGCGTTTTCCCAATATAAGGCGTAAAATCTATTAAAAACCTTTCTTTTTTTCTTTTTTCCTTTTTTTTTTTTTTTTTGAATTTAAACAAATTACAAATACACCTACACAGTAATTGTTAGGTAAACATGAAAAATTTTCAAATGTGTTACGAATTCATTGACTGAGTCGCGAAACCAAATAAAACAACGGCATTAGTGTAATAAGATTGCATTTAAGTCTATGTTTCGGATTAACAGTTATATCCATTGCTGTTGACCTTGATGTGCTAGAACAAAAAAAAAAAGAAAAAAAATAAAGCAAAGTCACTAACAGCTGCAGACACAAGCAGAAGAAAAGAAAATAAAAATAATATAACATAAAAATCAACAAGAGGTAAAAAGAAATATATGCGAAACCAGTTTGTGCCACGAGCATAGCAATCTTTGCAAGTGCTCGAGCAGAAAAGCAGATGTACCAGTAGTGGCAGCAGCAGCAGCGGCAGTTGCTTTATTTTCTTACAAATATCAACTGGCAGCGAACAAGTTGAATGAAAACATTTTGCAAAAGTCAACATAAATCGTTTAATGCTACTCAAGTGACAAATTTGATTAAAATTCGTACAAGTAATAACAACAGTTACACGGCAATATAAATCGGGGAAAACATTCTTAGAGAATGTATTTTTACTTTATATATTCGTACTCACGTCACTTGTGACACAGATGCAAATTTAAATCCAAAACGACTTGTGAAGAACATAGGTTTTATTATACCATATTTAAATCCATGTGCCATGGCGCC